CAGCACTAATATATATATATATATATATATATATATATATATAATATATATATATATAATTACATAATTATAGAGCAGAAACTGTATTTTTTAATTTGGTGCATAAAACTTAAAATATGTTTCTGGGTCAATGCGACATAATGATGAAGTATGTCATAATCACAAAATTAGTAAGCTTTTTATATATATATTAAAAAAGTAATTTCATTTTCTTAATGTAATAGCTTATTTTACATAAAACTACTATTACGTTTTGTGCTCAAATGTATTATTTTGAAAGATAATTATTATATTGTAAACATTGTTTTAAATTATGTGCTGATATTACCTCATGAACTGTGATTACATTATAAGTTGCCACAGTGTGTTCATAATGTAATAAATGTATCATACAATAACCTATTACATTATGTGAAAAATTGTTATTACATTGAAAAATTATTATTACATTATGAGCTCAAGATTTTATTACGTTTTGAGAAAAATTTTACATTATGAACATTTTATAACAATAATGTAATACTTATTACATTATGTGCAGTTATTACATTATGAGTTGCTACAGTGTGGCAGGTGCAGGGTCTTTACATGAATGCCCCTATTTTTTTAAATGATAATGTTTCACTCTTGTCTGAAGAGCAATTTTTTGAGAGCATTTAAAGATTTGTTTTTCCCTTTTTGTACCACACTTCAAATTTTCAGACTTTTAAACTTTGGCCCTTTCAATGTGCAAAGTTGATAAATGAATTGTCTTTATTATAATATTTTTCTTAAAATGTTACACTGTATGTTTGTTTTAATTTCTCTAGTCTTCAACTTTGTGTTACATAAAAACAGACCCATTAACTGATACAGCACAATTAAGTCTGGCTTTGTGCTTTATTATGCCTGATTATTACTATGTCATTTCACTGATTATTTGCGTCACTTACCTTTGTTACCATTACCAGTGACCCCCCCCCCCCCCCCCCCCCCCCCCTCCTCTCCTCTTCATTTTGTATGGAAGCACATAGATAAGCACA